TTATACTTCTTTATGGCAGAGGAGTGCTCCATTGTGTACAAAAAAACACATTTTCTTTATCCATTCATTCATTGATGGGTATCTAGGCTGTTTCCAAGTTTTAGCTATTACAAATTGTGCAGCTATAAACATGGGTGTGTATAGTTACCACATAGTGTGGTAGCTGGTCTTTCAGGAAGATACCAAGAAGACTAATAGGTGTGTCAAATGGAATCTTTAGTTTTAGTTTTTTGAGGAATCTCCATACTGATTTACAAATTGGTTGTACCAGTTTACACTCCCATCAACAATGGAGAAGGGTTCCTTTTTCCCCATAGCCTCACAAGAATTTGTTATTTTTTGATAGCCATTCTTTCTGGAGTGAGATACAGTCTTTGATTTGCATTTCTCAAATGACCAGTGATGTTGAACATTTTTTCATATAGTTATTTACCGTTTGTACTTCTTCATCTGAAAAGTGTCCATTCATTTCAGATGCCCATTTTTGGATTGGGTCTTTAAATTTGAGAAGATGATCATGTTTTTGAGTTCTTTGTATATTCTAGATATTAGTCCTTGAAGGAACAGTTGGCAATTTTTTCCCCATTCTGCGGGTTGTCCCTTCACTCTTGATGGGTTTTTTTGCTGTGCAAAGGCTTTTTAATATGAGATCCCAGTTGTTGATTCTTTGTAATATTTCTTGTGCGATTGGGGTTTTGTTCATAAAGTCTTTGCCTATAACTGTGTCTTCAAGAGTTTTACCTATTTTACCTTTAAGCAGATTAAATGTTTCTTTCTTAATATTTTAGATCTTTGTTCCATTTCAGTTTTAGTTTAATGCATGGTGAGAGATATGGGTTTAATTTTAATCTTTAACATATGGAAAGACAGTTTTCCAAGAACCATTTATTTGTTGTTTTTTGGTACCAGGGATCGAACTCTGGTCCTTGCGCTTGTGCAGCAGACGGCGAAACCACTGAGCTAAATCCGCGGCCCTCAAGCACCATTTATTAAAGACACTACCTTTTCTCCAGTGAAGGTGCTTGTCCCCTTTGTCAAAGATAAGGTAGCTGAGTGTGTTTGGAGTTGTTTCTACATCTTCTGTTCTGTTCCACTGATCCTCGGGTCTGTTTTTTTGCCAGTACCTTGTTGTTTTTATCATGGTAGCTTTGTACTAGGACTAAAGATCAGGGATTGTGATCCCCCCTTTCTTGCTTTTGTTGCCCAGCAGTTGCTTTTGCTATTTTAGATCTCTTCTGTTTCCATATGAATTTTAAGATTGTTTTTCTCTATTTCTATGAAATATGCTGTTGGTATTTTGATTGGGATTTCATTAAATCTAGATAACAGTTTTGGAAGTATGGCCATTTTCACTATATTGGTTTTACCTATCCAAGAACAGGAGTTATCTTTCCATTTTCTGATATCCTCTTCAATCTCCTTTTTCATAGTATTGTTTTCAGTTTATAAGTCTTTTACTTCCTATGTTAGATTGATTCCTAGGTATTTCATTTTTCTTGATAGAAACTCTTAAGTTGGCCTACCATTTCTTACTCTTTCTCCCTTTTCTTCTTTCTTTTCTCATACCCCTCTTACCCCTAGCTAGTTTTTAGGCAGTTGGGAAAAAAAAAAAACTTTTAAAGTAGGTTATGTGTAGTTTTTAATCACAGTGTGTTCCCTTTAAGAATATATTGAAAGTTTAATTTTAACCCTTTTAGATCTCAATCACAAATGATTATTGATCAGATAACTATGTTTGCACACGACTATTTGATACTGTGAGGCCATTACATGTGTTATGTATGGATAGCTGTAAACTTACTTTATTTTCTAGTGCTCCAGGGATGCAGACTGTGTAATTGAATCCAAAATCCTTGATTAACTGACAATACATTTGTAATCTCTTTATTTTTATTTTGTTAATTTTTGTAGTGCTGGTTATCAAACCCTGAGCTATACACCTAGAACTTTAATCTCTTTTATTATTAGGTAATTCTTCATCTGTTTTAAGTACTCAGGATGAATTGAATTATGAAAGTTAATTATTACAGAATAAGTCAGTAGTTACTAATTAAATTTATTAGGATTAATTTTTGTGAACACTGAATTTTACCTTAAAAGAAGACTGCAACTGTAAGATTACTAGCCTTTGCTCTTGGATATTGATCTCATTTACAGACAGGTAGTTCTGTATTCTAGGTCAGTGGTGTTAGTGTTAAGTCATTTTATAAATCTTTATTCAATGTCTATCCAGAGCAGAGATTAACATTTAATGATTAGTGAATGAATAGTGCTGACCTAAATGAGAGCATATGTTATTACGCTCAGAAGTCACAGATTCCTCAATTTAGGGGTTCTTTCAGAATTTCTTTTTTAACTTACCTTCCTAAAATGAACTGACAGATTATCATTTTCATTGTACTGGATTTCTTTGGTATTTCAGCACATTCATCATGTTTGTTATCTTCTGTAACATATGGTTTATTGCTTTGTGTGTCTTTGGAGGGATGGTGTTATAAATTCAGATGCTAAATGTATTGAAGAAGTAAAGTATAATCTCAGCTAAGTTTCTTAAAAGAGTCATTTAATAATAGTAGCTATTTCATTTCATTCCATAAAAATCATAGAACTTTAGAATTGGAATGGACTTTTGAGGGCATCTGATCCATCAAGTTCCACAGAATTAATTATCTTGTTTTCTCCTGTTGCCCACCTGAGCTTGTACGAGGAAGATATTTTGCTGTAAGCCCTTCCCTCGGGGTTTTAAAAAGAAGAGCTAGTCTCTAATTTATAAAAATGAATTGCTTCAGAAATGTTTTTAAATCTGTTATTTAGAACTGAGCATTTTCCCATAGGAACAATATTATAATTCATGGTAGGAATCCAGGACTAGTGCTCAAAAGGTGTTAACTCATTATGTGACTGAAACGCTCACCTTTACAATGACAGATGTTTTGAATAATCAGTGCTGATTATCTCAGGGGGAACACAGGGGAGATGACATTAAAGAGTAGTATGTCAGAGACTCTCTTTTTATCTTTTATTTCTTAGGCTAAGTAGTGAATACATGGAGTACCTGCGTTCATTATATTGTTTCCTGAATTTTTGTATGCCTGAAGTGTTGGATATTTTAAACAGTGTTTTAGTACTGGAAGTTCATTTTGAATATGAACATTTAAAAATTGTTTAATTACAAGTGTTTAAAGAAAAAATGGTTTGATTACAAAAAGATAAAAAGTTAGAAATTCTGAAGGAGTTTTATAGATGCTTTCAAGGGCTTAGATTTAATGATAGTTATGTTTATTTTGTACATTATTACTTCATAATGTTTATTTGTTGTTAATTTAAGTGTCTCACCAACAGGCTTTTATCTGACAGCCATCTGTAGGCATGGTTTTGAGAGAGGAAAGAAAAAAAGATGGATAGTCATTTACTTGAGGTAACTAAACAAATGGTGAAAGGTAAAGAAGATTGAATTACACATGTATGTGCAAACATAGTCTAGATCTTGCTTTGATTTGCAGTTACTATTGTACCCAGTGAGAGAGAACCAACCGGAGACCAATATTAAATCCACACAAGAGTTTATTACCGGCCGGGACCTGAGCCGAGCATCGGACTCGAGCCTCGACTGGGGGTTGACAGACATGTTTTATACACCTTTGAGGCCAACAGTTTCTAGGCCCTCCATGAGATAGAACTAGTAAAGCAAGCAAAAGGTACAGAAGTGGAACTTCCTGCTGTTAGAACATTTGTAAAACAATAGTTGATTGTTGTTTCTAAGAGACTCTCTAAGGGGAGGAGGTTTCTAAGCTTCCTCCTCCTGAGTTCATCTAACGGGCAGGCAGGTGGGTCAAGCAGCAATATGGAGTCTGTCTTGGTAACAAGGGTCCTTCAGTTACTTGAACTAAAGGCTTGTTAAAAACAGGAAAATAGGGGAGTAAAGCTTATACCAGGTCTGAATCTGGAGAAGGGCAGTGAGAAAAACAGTAAAGCCCCAAAGGTTGGGTTACTGTAGTGAAGGAATTTGAGGGTGCGTACAAGTAGAGTAGGGTAGGAGTTTGGTTTCAGCATAACAGTGCAAGCAACCATTGATATTTTTGAAATTTTCCTAATTCAAGGAATGCCTTTACACATTTATAAATACACATAAGCAAAAACTAGCTACTATTTATTTTATTTTAGCAAACAACTGAGCCAGTTTTCTTAATAATTTCATTACTTTTTTGTGAATGGAAGTTATTTTGTTGTTGATTTCCTTTTTGGTATTTTGCAATTGCAACATTAATTGTTTTTAATATTGAGACATTAATCCAGCTGTACAACTTATTTATAGCTTAAGTAAAGCTCAATAATTACTTGCCTTTTGGGAAATACTTGACCTAAGAAGCAAAGTTTTCTTCACTAAATTGATAGTGAATTTCAGAAAGATACATGTCCATTTTACAGATGTCTCTTTAATATTACCATGGAAAGGTTTTTATTATCCCATTTTTCAGTTCCATTTGTAGAACATTACCATGAAATAAATTGCTCTAGGGAACCTTTTCATTGAAGTTTATCAGCTAGTTATATAGAAATGTGCAAAATTCATCTTGTGACCAGTATCTAAATTTAGCATTCAGATTGAGACTAAAGTGGGAACAGACACAATGTAGAGTGCAATTGCATGAAATAAAGAAAGTTAGAACAAAAGAGGAGTATTTGAAAAGAAGATTAAAGCCATTTAAGAAGGAAATGGGGTTGAAGACTTCCAGGGCTTTAAGAAACAAAGATTTAAAACAAGAAAAAGAGGAGTATTTCAGTTTCAAATACTCCTACTCATCCAAAGTAGCTGTCTGTCATCTGTCTTCCACCTTCCCCACTTTCAAATGAATCGGCTTCTTTTATTAAAAACAAACAAGAAAAGAAGAAAAGAAACAAAAGAGAAACCTAGAGGGGAGATGAACAGAATACAATTTGACATTTTAATAAGTAATTTACTTTCTGTCTGGACCACAAATTTTATTTTGTCTTCTTAGGCATGCAGTGAGAACATAACCACCTAAATTGAGTAAGTTTTAATTTTATGTTTGTTTACATGTTAGCTTTCTATTGCTGTGACAAAACACCTAAGGTAAACAACTGGCTATGGTTTAGATCTAGAATGTTTTCCCAAATTTTCATGCGTTCAGAGGTGGGGTTTTGGAAGTAGATGATGGTGATACTGTATTAATCAGTAGATTGATCCATTGATGAGGCTTAGCTAAATGTGGTGTTGGGAGATAGGGCCCGTTTGGAGGTAGGTCATTGGGGGCACAACCTGGAAGGGTATATTTTTGTCCTTGGCTCCTCCCTTCTGTCTCTGCTTCCTGGGTGCCATGGGATGAGCAGCTGTCCTCTAGCCAGGCCCTTCTACCCTGCTGGCCTTGGAGCCAGCTGACCATGGACTGAAACTGTGATAGAAAGTAAACTTCTGTTCCTTTAAGTTTTGGATATTGGTTATTTTGTCCAGTGATGGAAAAGTGACCAAGATATAACTTAAAGTATGAAAAGTGTATTTTGGTTCAGAGTTTCTGAGGTTTCAGTCCATGGTTGTTTGGCCCTATCACTTTGGGCCTATGGCAAGGAGTAAAATCATTCTGGGCAGTGCATGGTAAAGCACAACAGCTCCTCTCATGGCTACTGGGAATCAGAGGGCAGGGGGAAGGCCTGAGTCCCAATATATGCTTCAAGGTGATAGCCCCAATAATGTTCCTTGAAATAGGTGACACCACCTGAAGCACCACCACCACCACCATAGTGCCATCAGCTGAAGATCCAGCCTCTAACACATCAGCTTTTCAGGAACATTTAAAATCCAGATCAAACATTTATGAACAAAAGAATAATCTTAGAATATTAACTGTCCATTCTGAAACTCTATCCCCTCTTTTTTTTGTTCTGTTAATAGATCCCAGCATTATTAAGAAATGCTACATGGCAAAGATGGGGAAAAGACAATTCAAGACAGTTGTTAGATACTGCAAAGGTAAGATTAAGCCCGTACTTCAACATGTAGTAGGAAAAGCCCATGTAAGCCCTTGGAACATTTCCTAACTTATACTACATATTTAATACATATTTTATGTTTTCAAGTAATTTCCTTTTTCATGTTTTTCTAAATACTGGCAAGAAGGTATATTTTTGTTGCTAGAAATGCAGAAAGATATCCTTGGTATTTTTCTACCCATGGAAAAATCTGAATGTCTTGAGATCTGTGCCAACTAAAGTAACATTTTCAGAAAGCTTCTGTACATGTTCTGTACATGTTTATCCTGGTAATTTGTATCTGATGTAGAGATTGTTGTAGTTTTCCAAGTGTGTGAAGTTTCTTTATGTTAGAAAATTTTTGAATAGCAGAACATCAAGAGATTCTAAGCTTATTAGAGCCCATGAAGTAAGTGATGTTGACTTTACATTTATGAGAGTTAGTTTTCATACTAATGTAAATGAAAGGCATCTTTAAAAATTTCCCGTGCTTTAAAATGAAACAGGTAAATCTCTATGATAGAAAAAGACTAGCAGGGCCAGGGATTTAGCTCAGTGGTTTCGCTGCCTAAATGAAACGAAAGAGACTAGAAAATTAGAAAATGTTCTACTTTTTAATTTTTTTCTAGTTATTCCCCATTAAGGTGTAAGATGTTCTTATTTATGTAGAGGCTATAGAAATGAAAGATTTTTCATTATTAAACTAAAGCTTTAAGGGGAAAATATGGTTAATTTTCTCATTGTCCATTATGCCATGAATTTTACTTATATTTTAGACTTTTGCTTTGTTTAAGATCTTGTTAACTTGTGTGGTATTCACCAGACCAGATAAAACTTGTTGCTCAGCCTTTTAGAGGAAAACATGTCATAGAGGGACATTATCAGACTAAAAATTACCTTTTGATATTTTTCCTTTACAAAAATGCTTTAAGATTGTTGATCCAGAATCAATAACCCATTTATGACAATTCTTGTGTTTCAACAGGTGAGAACAAGAAGGTAGTTTTGCTTTTTATAATTCCATTTTTATAGCCTGGTCTTGAGCTGATACTGTTATGTGTGGTATTGATACATATTTTTGTTTGTGAAGAATTGTTTATTAATAATTGATCATTCTGATTATTGAAAATGCATCATTAAATAGGTGTACCTCATTTTTTAATTGTTAAAACACTTTCAATATTAGCAAGCCTAAAATTAAAACATAATCTTCGCTATCTTGTTCCTATATTTTCTCAAATGATTTTATTTTTATATATCTGTAAATTTAGCAATAATTTTAAAGCCTTTTAAAATTTTATTGGAGGTATCATAATAGATGAGGCTAGTTGGGAGATTTGCAGATAACTATTTTATAAGCTAATCCAACAAGGATTGAAATCTGCATTTCATATATATTTAAGACATTGGTATACACCACGAGAGACAAAAAGATGAGATAATTGTTTCTAATTCTAAGAAATTTGCTGTGTAATAAGAAAGACAAAATGTGTGAGACTATAGCATAAGATAGACTGTGAAGTATTAAAAATACCTGTTTCTAAATATGTATGTGAGCCAGGATAATAAGAAAGAGGAATGGTTGCATAAAATCAACTGTATTAATTGTAAAGCAAAAATGTATACAGAAGGAAAGTGAGAGATAAATTAACTATATATTATCCTTGCTTGTCAATAATAGAGTAACAGCTTACCATCACTATAGTAGTGAATGACAATAAGAACACCACTGTAAGTTAAAAGTATACTACAAGTCAAATATTTTAAACATTAAATTCAAAAGCTATTTAGAGAATGTGATTTCTGTATGAATATTTGTTTATCTCAATATTCATCATATAAATTTAGCTGTAAGCTAAATTGTAAAGTGTTTTGCTTTACTATACCAAGCTAAAAGCAATGCCTTTGAATTTGTTTTGGGGATAGTCATTAGAGTAGATTGTCTCTCTACTATTTTTAAACATCTGAAACTCTGTAATAGCTAATAAACTTGTTGGTATCATTTTCAACAGGTTCTCCAGGCATGGCCACTGATAGAAAAAAGGACATGTTGGCATGGTCACGCAGGAGGAGGACTACATACAGACCCAAAAGAAGGGGTAAGAGCAAATAACAAATAACTAGGAATTCTTGTTGATGATTGTGCTTGCATAGAAGATATATGTATTTAAGATTATCATATTCTAGTATATTTTGATTAATGCATCTAACTGAAATTCTCTAATGCCAAATCATATGCACTGACTAAAGTTATATGGATGGATTTCCTTTGGTGTAAAACTAACCACCCAACCAACCAACCAACAAAATTTCATGATTGATTGAAAAAGAAAAAGTTATCTGTCAACCTAATCATTTTAGTTCTCTAAAATAACATTGGTTGAGCTTATTTATTATATAATCTAGCCTCAATAAATAGCCAAGTTAGATGTATGTATGTAAAGGTTGATGTTTTCCCGTGTATATACTTATATTCTAGAATATCCACTAACTTCATAGAAGATCCTCTACCTAATCTATTTAATTACCATATTCTTTATCATTGATGTTATCATTATATAGGCTTGCTAAATAGTAAGGCCACTGAAATAAAAAGATTTAGTTATACTATACTTTTTCTGAGTGAGTGAAAATGTCATCAATAAAAAAGAACAAAGCAAAGTCATTGTAATACCTTATATTAATACCTTATATTTATGTCTATTATTTTTCTCCTCCCCATCCTTGTATTATTTTAGCCTCATTAGCTAAATGGAATCATAGTAAAGTTTAGAGGACATGCCAGTAAGAGGCGGTTATGAGGTTGTAGTTAAGACCCTGGGACCTGGAGCCAGACTATCTGGATTTTAATCATGTCCCCTTCACTTCCTAGTGGAATGACTTTGAGAAAGTAACTTAGTCTCAGTGTAGTTCAGTTTCTTCATCTTTAAAATGGGAATGATAATACTAAAATGGATTTGCGTTAACTTCTGATAACATTTTAAAGCTCTTAAGTAGTTCCTCGAACATAGGAAGTACTTAATAAATATTAGTTGCTGTCATTATAATGTGAGATTTTAAGGCCTGTCCTCTACCATAACTCATTCATTTAAAAAGTAGTTTTTATTTGCTTTGTGCTAAAATTTATACTAAGTACCAAGATACAGTGATGAACAAAACAGTCTCTGCTATCTAGAAACATAACATTTAGATGACAGAGTATCTAAGCTAGCATGTAGAATTTTTATCAGTGTGCGAAATACTAGATTTTACCTTAAAGCCAACTGAAATCTTTACTGCTTTACTTTTTATTAGTTTTCACTTGTGTATTCTTAACACATATTAATCAGTATTAATAATGTCTCGAAGAAAGTATTTAACTCATTTATTCATTGTAGCTGTTATAAAGAGTTTGTAAAAAAGAAGTGGTAATTTCATATTTGAAAACTTCTTTTTAAAAGACTAGATGGTTTAAGGAAGTATTTGTTTTATAACAGAATCTTGAGATTTTTAAAGGATATTTGAAACTTTACTCCTACATTTAAATTTTTATTTATATCTTTCTGTAGAAGAATCTGTTAGTAAATTTAGTCCTCTGCTTTTAATCAAGACACAGATAGTATAGAAATTAATGAAAGGATTATGTTTTACTTAGGACTTTGCTCAACATACACCTTTTGTGTTAGAAATACTTCCTCATTTATTGTTTATAATCTGAAGCAAGTAGTATTAAAAGAAAGATTAGCCCCTACTAGAGCAGGGAGCTTTGACATGAATCTTGATGTAATTGAAAGAAGTAAAACTGCACCTTGGAGTATTTAAAATTGGAGGATTTGGGAGATAATAGAATAATGAATTTCCAGGTTTGTTACAATGAGTAGGCACACAGACCTATGGTTAAGAATATGTAGATGACATAGGCTCTTTTCTAGCTCTGATTTCATACATCATCAATCAGCTGTATGATCTTCATTTGATTTCTAAAAATTGACTTCCTTTTGGGATAAAGAATTCACTGACTCACCTAGGAAAGCATCAGTCTGCTCAGTAGTTATTTTTATTGTCAGTTATTAAATGGACTGTTGGGTATACATCCATCTCATGTAGCATAATCCATTTCTTCTCAGGGCCTAATCACCATTGGATAAACTCTTCATTGAAATTTCAAACCCACGGAGCTTAGAAAATAAACCCTGAGGTATAGGGAACATATTAAAAATTGCAAAGCTTTTCTGACAAATATTTACCTCCCCCACCCCAAACTCATACTTATATTCATAATTATGTAGGGAAAGTTCTCCAGTTACCCTCTGGACTTTTTAGTTAATCATCTACTGAACTTGCTTGTCTTGTTTTGATTTAGCTTTATCAAGCCACTGTTACTTCTAACAGTATTGAAGTAGTCATTCCTTTAATTGAAATTACTTTTAGCTTTGGCTGAGGAGATAATTATCTTTTCTATACAGTTTTTCTCTCACTAGGCTGGGTCTGTGAGTTTCCCAAACTTAAATCACCCTGTTGTAGCAGGCTCACTGACTCCCGTCACAGGAAAAGAATGTTCAGGGTGTGTCAAGAAGAGGCATGAGTAAGGTTTATCAAGAAGAGGCATGAGTAAGACATGAGTAAGGCAAAGAGGGAGTATAGTACATACTCAAGAGGGGAGTGTGAGTGCTTAGAAAAATAAGATGCATTACAGTTTAGAACTGAATATAATTATACTTATTTTAAGGGAGTGAAAAGTTAGGGATAAAACTTCATCCATCCCCCTCAAAACAAGGGTACCAGTCCATTCCAGGCATGTTTTTAAATTTTTTTGAATAGGTGATTTTTTTTTCTTTTGGGAGGAGTATTATTCTTGCTTAGCCAGGAGCCAAAAGTCTTGTCCTGAATGATATAAAGGAGACATAGGAATATCAGAGTTTGGTGTTTGTAAGACCATCACTCTTTTATAGTATGAAAGAGAGGGCAAGGGCATATAAGACATTATCCCATAGCAACAATGGATCATGCAACATAAAAGAATTCAATGTATAGTATTCTAGCCAGAGAAATTAGAACTTTATTTCACCAAGTTGTTTCAGAAAATCAGGATAATAGCCAGTCATTGATATTTATGGCAGAGTTTGACATTGTACTGATCTATGAATATTGATCTTTTAATGCAGAAGACACATTTGCAGAGTTGTCAGGAATGTATACTAATATTCTGTTCTGATGATGGCACAGCTTTTATGTTTTGCTACTGTTAGAATATCTAGGGCCGTTTGGCTTTGCAAAATGGCTTTTCTCATCATTTTAAATTCTGAATTTAGTAATGAAATACCCTCTGTAATGTCATTTAGAGATTTTTTGGGTATAGTTAGTAAGAAATTCAATGTTTCCCATTATATTTTAAAGTTTTATTTGTGGAATAAAAATGGAGATCAAATGATCATACCAGTGAAAAACTGATCTCTGATCTATCCATATCACAAAACTGGGAGGTTGGCTAGTTGATCTATTGGTTTAACCCAGTGCCCTTGCATCCATAGGTGCCTAATGTATATTTTTTATCTGCTCTGAGGTAGCCAAGGCCTTAGGTTGTACCACAGAGCCATTGTTCACTGTTTGGAGCTAGCCATCTTATTCTAGCCCTTGCCTTTCAGTCTGTAGCAAATAAGTGAGTATCTCTTAACACAGTAGTGTGATTGCAGCTAGCTCTGTGTAGGAATCTTCCCATATTTTGGGTGGCATTGTTTTATTTATCACGAATGCAGTTTTTTTGTTCCCAACAAAAGGATGCTAGTTGGCTGAGTTGTTCCATAGTAGATGCCAGCCAAGCATGTTTATCTCAGACCTGAAATATTTAACTATAAATTGATGGTTATCTTTTGTCATGGGAATTTTAGGAATGTGGGATAGTTCAAGAGCTCTATATTTCCATATCTGAGTCTTAAGTGTGGCTGCAGAAAAATTTTTATTTTATTTTATGAAGAGTTTCATTTATTGACCACTGAGAGATATTAGATCTAGTGGCAAGCTCGAAAATCGGTGCTGCACTTTGTAGTTGTTCTATAAAATTTTGAAGCTTTCTCTAACTTCCCCATAAAGGAGATACCCACCATGGTAGCCCAGAAGCACTACAAGTGGGCAGGTGTTCATAAACTCAATATGCATCTTTGTTGCTATTTTTGGCATAGCCAGAGGGCCTGATAGTCAAAACTTTCTATGTATATAAATTATAGATGTAGCTGCAGACTCTCAGCAGAGGCTGGTACAGTGCTTGGAGCCCCCTTTTTATATATATCATAGTCTTTAAAAATATACATACATACATACATACACTTTCCTCCTGGGTGTTTAAGACCAAGTTAAAGTGAGATCTATGTTGATCAAAATTAACCCCCCCCTCTATGTCTATCTATCTCTATCTCTATCTCTATCTCTATCTCTCTCTAGTCTGTCTATCTCTAGGTCAGTTTAGGCTTCTCAGGCATTACTTTTGGGGTCATTTGCAGAGCCACTTAGCTCTTAGCTCTCTTTAGTTTTTTCTCTACTGGTTGTGTCATCTGTCAGAATGGGTCACAATCTTTGCTTGACCACATGGCTTCCCTTGGGAGCATCGATATTCCTTTCTTTAGTGACCCTCCTTTTAGCACAGTGTACACTGGTTGACTCTGTCTTCGGGGGGTCTAACTGTCTCCTTATTCAGGAAGTTGAGTGACTCACTGGAGTTGTAGGATCCTTTAGAAGAGTCTCATGACATCTTGGGTCCTGGGTGACCTGGGAGGGCAAGGGCCAAAATATTAGTTGTCTTGTTAGCCCAGTTACCTTTTTTTTTAGCTTTGGTCTCTAAGCCTTACTTATTGAATGCTCAGAAGGACAGTTACATGACTGTTGAAGTGAAATCAGTAAGTTTAACTATTATAATCTTAACTGGATATCACACACTTTGAAATATAAAGTAAGGCTAGAGAACTGTTATTATTTTTTTAACCAATCATGGTTGTCTTGGAAGTCTAATTCTTTTAGAATGTTAACATATAACAGTTACAAAGTTTTATAGGAAACATTTGAAATCAAGAGCAAACGATATCTTTTACTTTTCAAATTATGATGACATTATACTAGAACTATTAAC